GCTAGGGTAACTAATTGACTTGAATGTGCTAGTAAAAGTAAAAGCAGAAACAAACCCAGTGTGTGTTGCTGTCAAAGGACCTGGCAGCATGACTGTTATGATTAACTCCCAGTTCCCAGTTAATAGTCTCTTAATAGCAGAATCACATGATTCCTTAGCCAGAATGTGTTTTATTAATAAAAGCAGATTTTAATAAAACACTCATTTCAATAATCTCCAACATAAATTACTGTAGTAATCTTAGTGATTAATTTTGATTAAATAGAAGTGAAAAAATGCTTTGATGTTAGACACATAAAAAGCTAACATTAAATTAGAGAGGTTTAAAAAACTGCTTTTTTTTTTTTTTTCCTTTACAAGTTGCCTCACCAACTCTGAATTATTGCCAGCATGATGGGGATGTGGAGCTAAATACTGAATTAGGTCCTGGTGTCGTAGTTGATAGTATACAAAAGGACTGCTCTGCTTCTGTGGAGACTTATTAAAGTCACTGAGGCCCTGCATGAGCACAGCAGTATGCCCTGACTGTCGGATCAGAGCTTTTGTCACTGCTGCACTATTCTACCATTTGTTTCTCGTTTGACAAGGTTCCATTTACCTGAAAGATGTGAAGAATCTAGACTCTTCTCTAGCATTTGTTTAGGTACCATTTTTTTAGGAGCAATGTTTGCCAGCGAAGAGAAAGACTAGATCCTGAAATTTCTGTAGTTCTGCTCCATGCAGTTCACCATCAGGAAGCTTTATACTGAAAGCATGCATGTGTGCAGTAAGTCTTCTCCCACCTCCTCCCATCCCACACCCTGTCCCCAAAATACCTACGTTTCTGTCTTCCTCAAAGCAAAAATCAAGTTAACATTGTTCTAAATAGGCATTCTCCTAGTGAGCTATGTTATTGCAATGTTTTTCAATGTAGAGGATATATCTCTTCTCCTCAGATCACAGATCAGCTTTAGTGGGAGGCATAAAAATGTGAGAACAGACTGTTTCCTGACAGCAGTCACTACATTTCCAAATGCTCTGGAGGACTGTCTAACTATGCAGTAGGCAGACAGGTGAATCTACCCAATTGAAACATCTTCTCATGATCTCTTTCTCATCTAGGCATTGACTTCAGCTCCGAAACTTGCATTTTATGTCCATTCCAAACAATTTGCTGCTGTTGTAGTTCTATTTTTTGGATATTTGTGTCAACAACTTGAGGAGCCTTTGTTTAGTTGCTCTCTTTTCTTCGTTTTTTGTATCGGAGAATATTGCCTTTCAGCCGTAGCAGTTAGAAATCACCTAGGGCCACTCCATAGAATGAACTGTCTAGGATCACTGGAAGGTATTTCGCTGCAGAGGCCTCCTGCTTTGCAGCGTGCTTCCCCAGGGCCCAGAGCTGACTGCCTTTGCACTGCAATGCAAGGTAGATTTTGATCTTGTTTTGGAACGCACAGTTCCTCTGACATGACAGAGTCAGTGCATTTCTGGCAGTAGCAACTTTGCTTAATGCAACCCACAGGCTGCTTAAGCAATTTGTTTGTTTGTTTTCTACTTTTATGCATAGCCCATTTTTGCTTTAAGTACATTTAGGTGGTGTGGGTTACTACAGGCTTCATTGTGCTATCTCCTGGTCATGCCGATTGGTTTACTATATTAGAATTCCCCTAGAAGTTCTGCAGGTTGCTAAAATTAGACGTTAAATACGTATGTAAGTAATCTTTTAAAGCATAATTACAAAAATGCAATTTCTCTTGCATTCCCTTCCTAGTTAGATCACAAAAGGGACACACCAGAAGCATATTTTTAGCTAATGTCATACTTAAACACCTAGGCGGGGGGTGGGGGGAGAAAGTCTGAAGATCTTAGATTACATTATGACTAAGGGTTTAACTGGGGTGTGTTTCAAAAAAGAATTAAAGCACTGTTGAGCTGGATCTGGAAGAGACCAAAAGACTCCAAAAGCCAGTCATGACTCTAGGGCTATTATTTATGCTGTCTGACTTCAGGTACTTTCCTTCAAGGACAGAGGTATCCACCAGTTGGATAAAGCTTTGGTTAAATGACTGAGCTCTGCTGGACTCAAGGAAGTAGGAGAGGCATGTTGCTTTGGGAAGTTGTTCTGTGGGTGAGGTATCACATGGGGTGGTACGGTTCAATACGGCCAGATGGATCCTGGGGACAGAGCCCCTGGCAAGCCTGTGGAAGGAACGGTGTCCATCAGTAGGCTGCGAACTTTGGAGAGAGGTTTGAAGTACAGAAGATCCCTACAACCTGGATCTCCTCAGTCTCTCCTGAATCCAGGCTATTTCACTTCTGCCAACCTTGATTTGAGAGGCCTGTGCCCTTGCAATGGGTATGATGAAGTTGCAGTTTTAATCCTGGATTTTCAGTATCCATGTGCTTTTTTCAAGCACGGTCAGGGCCCATCCCAGCTTAGTGAAAGCTGTTCCACAGAAGGCTCCTCACCCACCCAAAACACTGGTTTTCAAGTATGTGAGTTTCCAAGAGCCTGAGGCAGAACTGCAGAATGTTTTATATTTTCTAATGACAAAAATGTGATTTTTCTGGCAGTTCTCTTGGTGGTAAAAATCAGACATTGTACATCTTTACTTTAGATGAACTCAGTTTAAGACAGGCATCGGTTGGCGTTATGTTTGCTGGGTCTCTGAGCTCCAAAGGCCTGCTGAAAATTGAACAAACATTTCTTTCCATGTTTCTCACCGTACACATTCTGCCTATGAATCCATCACCAGCCTAATAGATCAGTATGTGCATAGTACTAATTTTCTGTAATGCAGCAATTGGGAGATCTGCCAGAGTGTGTTAAAATAAATTCGGCTGATATGTTAGGAGTCAGTTTGCACAGCAGCTCCATTTTTGTACGTAAACAGATCATATACACACGTGCATACACATATTTGTAATATACATATACACGTAGATACATACACACACAAAAAGGGTCATCTTAAACGTTGCTGAAAAATTTGGTGATACCTTTACAGCAACTCTGAGTTCTAGAGTCTGTAACTAACAATCTCAATAAGATTTTCCTGGAGAGTTTTCAGACCTGGTCTAGAAGTAAAGGACAGGTGTGCTTTGTTACCACTTGTAAGGTTTGAAACATCCAGACTCTGATTCTGCTGGTGCTGTGAATGCAAGAAGAATAATACGTTTTACAGTACAAAACTGTTGTAAAGTCAAGATCCAGTCCTCTGAATTGAGGGAAATTCAGAATTGTTTCAGAAAATGGATTGGGTTTTTTCTTCCAGCTGTCTGGCCTAAGTTTTGCTGCGCTTTTATTGCACTTTGTTTTCCTTCCCTTCCAGCGAAGGTTAATGAGCAGACATCTCTGAAGAGAAAAAAAAAAAAAAGGTCTCTTGCAATATGGCTAGGCAGGTATGAGACTGCAATATTTCTAATTCCTGTAAGTCTTTCTGTCTTTGGTGTGGAAGTAGAAGAGAAAGGGCACACATTTCTATTTAATTTAGTTTGTTGATCATTCTCTTTGATTGCACTGTAATACGTGCCTTCAGTTGCTGCCTGATACAGCTTCCTCTGAATTGTATTGAAGCATTCTGCTGCTGCCTGAAGAAAGGTCTCACCTCACGTCAATATGTTGCACCACACAGATATTCTCTCCTAATAAGACCAATCAACCCCATTTAGAAAGGGTCACTGGCTGCTGCAGGAGAGGGTACGGAATTCGGTACCCCTGGAGGTGGCGTGCTAATTGTGAATGTGCCACGCAGAGAGGCTGACAGCCATGCCATGCTGCCTGGCTTGTTGCTAGCGTGATGAGGTGTCTGGGCACAGGTATTCTAGGTTTGCTGGGTTTTCTGAACACAGTTTATGGGCTTTTTTTAAATTAATTTCTCTGTAAAGACCAGAAAGTTGTCTGTTCCTTGGAGCTTTATAAGTAACCCAAAGGGAAAAGACATCCAGTCCAGGTCAGGGCAGTTCTGCATTTACTGTCTTTGGGCTGCAGCAAGCATAAAATTCACACTGGAGCTCAAGGAGGTTTTAAATAGAAATAGGGTGTAGAATTCACTGAAGAAAGACTAAGATTTGCTAGGGATAACACAATCGCGCTACTGCGTAATCAGTTTACAAAAATGAGGGAGGAGGTTTTCCAGTGCGAAACACAGCCACTGGGTCAGGGACATACGAGTTGAATATGTTTTGCAGATGCTGAGTGAGAAAGTAACAGTTTTTCTGCCCTATCACTGCTTTTATGGTATCACACACTGCCATACAGGTTGTAGGTATGACTCAGCAGTGCTGAGCAGAAAGATTAATATTTTAACCAAGGACCTAATTGACTTAACAGCACTTTAAATAGACATATTCTCTGCAGTCGTCTTTGCAATCTAGAGGAGACAAGGAGAACTTTGAGAACTTGCAGAAATCATTAGCAGATATTGATCTATCAGCTAGGTCTTAGGAAGTCTTGACCATCCCACTGGTATCCCAGCACACACAGTGCCATCCCCATCCTTTCCTCCCAGCAGATCTGGTGAAAAGGTTCACCATACAAGGAGTGGTTCTGTTTGTTTGATATAAAATCTGTTTGCTTAGTTTTGTTTAGCTTTGTATTCGTTAGTTCTGGCAACTATAAACTCAGGCAAACAATATGATAGTGGCATGTCTAATAAATAATAAATACAGTTCTCACTGTATTTATTGTGTAAAACAAAACAAATACTGAAAGCATCCTCAGCTTGTTGAAACTTGGGGAAATCCCAAAGTGAGCAATAACAAATAAAACTTGCTATATTCCTGAAGGGGGCTGCACTTCCTATCTCACAGATAAATGTGGTATCTGTACAAGTACAATCCATATAAGTCTATTGGATATAAGCATATACCTAATGATAAAAATTTATTTAACTGCTTAAGAGCTGTCAGAAACAACTAGCATTCA